ATATCCTTTGTGAGAGAGGGGCTGAAAGGGGTGTCTCTTGTTTTTGTTGGCTGGAAGGTAAAGGAGAGGCTAGGGAGGTGTAGTGGCTGTTGAAGGTAGTTTTGGTGACTGGTGTTTGGTGGCACTAAGAGTGCGGGTGAGGCGGTAAACAAGACAGTTTGTGGCGTAAAGAGTAGATCGAGGGCAGTCGGTAAAGAAAAGAGGTTGTTCAATTTGGTAGGGAGATTGGTTGGCAATATGGTACGGTTTGGTTTTGATGGAAAATTAAGGTTGATGCTGAGGGTTTTTTCAGTCTGCTCCTTCTTGGATCTTTTGTTGATTCCCCCCAAGTTTTGTTCTTGTTTTGGGTTCGTGAATGAGATGCTTTGTTGGTCCTTCTCCTCTCCTTCTTGTGTTGTGCTGGTGTTTTAAATGGAGAGGGAGCTACCATTCTGGAAAATCAAATTGAGCTTGATTTGCTAGAAAATTGATTGAGCACAATCAGCTGGGATTTTGAACCAGTAGATAAGCTGAATCGTGAATTAATTAGGGATCAAATCAAATTAATTTGACAAAATCATTGGATTAAATTGAGCTGAGTTGAATTAATTTAATTCAATTGGATTGAAAAGTGTCATAACCTATTTTTGGATCCTCGCGCAAAAAGAAAAAAAGAAAAAAAAACAAAATTGTAAAGAAAAAAATAATAAAGAGAAAAATATATAAAAAAAATCTTATAAAAAATATAATAGTGAAAAGAGGATGCTAGAATGCACTAAAAATGGTTGAGGAGATTAAAAAATACAAAGATTAAAATTTGACAGTATTTTATTGATTGATGAGAGTCTCGTTGAAAAAGAAAATTCAATTTGAGAAAGAAAAGTCTAAATTAAATTAGATGGTTTAATTGAATTTATGGAGTGTTTGATTGCAAGAAAAATTAATTTTGGAGTCAATTTGGGCTTTAATTGGAAGAAATTAAAGTTCTAAGGTCAAATTATAATTTTTAAGAGTTAATTTGATCAAATCAGAGGCTTAATTGCATAAATATTAAAATTTGATGACCAATTAGAGACTTAATTGAAGAAATCCGAAATGAAGGATGAAACTGGAAAAGATGCAGAAATATAAGGGCTGTGATTAAAACCAAATCAGGGGTCCAATTAAAAAAATTAGAAGTTTCTTGCTCAATTGAGAGTTAAATTGCACTAATTCAAAATCAAAGACCAATTCGAAAAACATGACCAACTTTAGGGTCAACAATTGAATTTGGCAGGGATGTAATTGATTTAATTTTTAAAATTAAAATTTGCAATTGAGGACTCGATTGAACAAGTCATAAATTAAGGACTGATTTGTACTTTGACATAAGTTTGGCGCCATTTTTATTTAAATGAAACGACGTGTTTTGTCCAAAACGATGCTGTTTCATGCACGGTTCATATAAAAAAGAAGAAGAAGCCTGAAACAGTGCCGTATTAAACAACATTGTGGGTCTTCTTCTTTCTCTGCATGGGCGAAACAGGGGAAAAGGTATATTTTTTTCTTCCTTCTCACCCACTCCCCTCTCTCTCCTAAACATAAAAAAAGACACCGACCATAGCCACTTGTATAACCTCTAACTGGTGGCCTACCACGGGGTGGTGGAAAAAGGAGGGAACGTGCCCCTCGTGCAGTTGTGGGGTGGCCGCCCTAACTATGTCTCTCCCTTGTTTTCACCTATAAATACAAGGGAGAGAAAGGAAAAAAAAAAGAAGAGCACAAAAGGAGAGAGGGGATAACAAAGGAGGCTGAAGGAGAAGTAGCAGCGCCGCCTGCAACCACCATCGACCACCACAGCATGCCATCGTAAACAAGTAACTACCTCCTCTCTACAGAAAATAGGTTATAACAGAGGAGGCTGAAGGAAAAGTAGTGGCGCTGCCTACAACCACCATCGGCCACCACAACATGTCATCATGAATAGGTAACTACCTCCTCCCTACCATTCGTTCCCCTACTGGTGTCACTTGTATTTTTGCATTCAGAACGTGAATATTTCACGTTCTACTGGAAAATACAGCGTGGGATGGTTACTATGCTGATACGCACAATAACTAGCCCATTTGGGCTTGTGTCGGGACATCAGCCCAGCCCAGCCTAGAAAGGGGGGCCAGGTCCTGCCCAATTTTTTTAAAATTCACAAATATTTTTTAGAATTTTTCAATTTTCCTGTGTAGTTTTTATGTCATTTTGATTAATATATGACAATATTTTTTTATCATAAAAATACAAAATCCAGCATTAAAATTCTGGTTTTAGTCAAAACTTTCATAAATACAAAAAAATTAAAAATATAAAAAATCTTTTTGTGCATACGACCAAGTATCTCAAAGCTAAAAATCATATTATGTTTTCCATATACTAAAAAATATATTTTGGCATGCATTTTGGCTTTAATAATCAGTTTATTAAAGTCACGAGAACTTTAGTCAAAATTTCAAAAAAAAACAACAAAAATTTTATTTTGTTTGGCTTTTAGCATCCATAGTACAATATTACATGTAATACATATTCTGGATATTATTTTTTTTTGGATGCTAACCACAACCAAACCTTAGATTTCATCAAATATTAAAACAATTCAGTCTATCTTAGGTGAGATATATTTGGGATGCTAGTAATTTTTCTTTGCGCAACCAATCTCCGTACCCAATCTCTAAAATTAGTTAGGGTTCCTAGTGAACAGAATATTAGGTGGCGACTCCCATTAAATTTTTTTACTGATAAAAAACAAGAATTCATTGTCTTTTCATATTTTTCCCAGTAGACTATACATTTATCTATTTCTAAAAATTTTGAGTTTGGATGATCGCTGCAACACTGCACACTTGTGACAAAAAGAATGGGACTAAAACAAAGTTACATAAAACAAATTCAATTGATCCGTGGAATATTTTCTTCTTTTAATTAAAGTCCTTTTTATTTGAAATTTGTTTCAATTCTAATTGAATTTGCCTTAAATCATACTTTTCAATTGTGTCCTAAACGAATTAATTTAGACCTCCAGATTTAACTCTTATTGCAAATTCATCCTCTGTTATTTCTAAATTTGGCTATTTGTTTCAAACTCATTATTGAAATTTCAAATTTCTTTCCATCCTAGCCAAATTAAATTAAATCAAATTAAGTTTTTATTTTTCTCTTCAATTCAAACCTCAATTATGGGTCAAAAAATCCTCAAATTTCATTTTTACCTTTGATACTCAATTATTGGTACAATTTCCATCCTCACTGTGACTTTATATATATATATATTATTTTCTTACCTGCTAGATTTTTTCTTTGTTTTTCTACGGTTTATTTTTAACACACAAAGATTTAAAAAAACGATGAAAATAACAAAATGATTAAAATTAACTAAATTTAATAAAAGATATATTTTCTTTGTATATTTCTAATATATACAAAAAATAAGGTAAAAATGGTTTATAACAATTATTGTTGTTGTTTCATGTGTAGCACTCCGTTTTGGCAGAATAGTGGAGGTTCGGTAAAAATATTAGACAGGAGTGATTTGATGTCCAGAACAAATGATAGGCATGGGAATGGATTTTGAGTGAATCAGTTTACTGCTAAAAATGTGTTTTGAAGAGGCGAGGGTTTTAATTCTGCTGTTTCCCGTACTCTATGGTAGGAAAATTACGATCACAGAGGGCCATCCATGCAGCTGAGGACATGATAATGCGGAAGGTATCCTAAGCTTCTGAGAGGGAGACAGATTAGCCTTTGACCATGATCTGAACTATATTTTGTTGCAAATTTCTCCGTGGACCCTGCAATTTCCTAATTTATTTGGCGTTTCTCGAATTTGGCAAGGAGAAACTGTGATGGAAGGAGAAAGAAGGAAGGGAAATTCTTCATTATAGAAAGTATGGGAAATTCTTCACAGGGTGCAATGTTCAGTTTGTTGTTGGATTAGGCTCTATTGGCTTGTCATAATATTTGATGTAACCATGTTTATCTTCTTGATACAATTATTAATAGCTTTTAAACTAATACATGTTGAACGTCTGAGCTATGCTTTCAAAGGATACTTTGCCATAGTTAAAATAGAAATTTGCCGAAATATTTCCTTCTGAATCTTGTTTAGTTAATCCTCATCTTGACATTTCCGATTTTGCAATCTCTTTCTTATAAATGGGCAGCAAATCCAGTAGAGCAGGAAATACTATATTGCTTGTCTTGTGACTGGAAGCATCGAATGCTGATACAGGATGTGGTTGTCACTCTATATCACTTTTACGCTTCCGATTCGAAGAATGGCCTTTTCATGAAATACTAATGGGACTTGTCTCCTGGTGGTTCTATGGTTGTAAAACTCACTCCGCAACTTCTAATGGCATTTCGGCCGTCTTCGGAGAGGGATCAAAAACTCCGAGTGACATTTCCGTAGAGAGAGGCAAGTAATTTTTCATACCGAAGATGACTCGATTCCATTCACCAGGTCAGAGTTTTACTCAGAAATTCTTTTTGACAGTCATGTATCGAGGTTGAGTATTTTCACTCGTGACATGGTTTTTTTTACTGCATTCAAAGTTAGCACTGCGTCTATCCTGAGCTCTAAAAGGAAATTTTTAATTTTAGAAAGTACAAGCTCTTTTCTTTTAATTTTATTTCAATTCCTTTTTTTGGGATGAGATCTAATTGTTCTTATGGAAACGATACATTCGCATTTGATTTGGTTTTGCGGAGAGATTATCTTAGAGTAAAATGTGTTCTTTATTTATAGCATTTGAAAAAGTGCATTTATCGATAGTATACACACATGCATGGATGAAATCACTCGCCACCAGCATGTGTGAGCTCCTGCAATTTTATTTCAGAATACAAAAGAAAAGGTATCCTCTGTGTTCATGGCGAGCTTTAATTACCTTTCCCTCCTCCATATCCAGAGCCATAACCAGACCCGCTACCATAACCTGAGCCTGAGCCAGAGCCAGAGCCAGATCCTCCTCCTCCACCCCCACCACTACCACCACCTCCTCCTCCTCCACTTCCATTCCCACCCTGGCCACCACCGCTTCCGCTTCCACTTCCACTTCCATAGCCTGACCCACTTCCTGATCCAGAGCCTTGACCTCCACCACCACCTCCTCCACTGCCACCACCACCACCAGCAACTTTGCTGCCACCTATCCCACCACCGGAACCATAGCATGAGCCGCTGCTGGTCCCATAGCCAGAACCTGACCCGTTGCCTCCGCCACTGCCACCACCTCCTCCTCCGCCACTGCCTCCGCCTCCTCCACGACCACCAGCACCATATCCTTCACCGCTCCCGGATCCAGA